CTACTGATTAACATCTAGAAAACTGAATATGTGCCGGCCAAATCAAGAACTCAACAAAATAACTTAGAGGTGCAATACGAAACGATAGAAATGGTAAGAAGAATTCTGCTACTTAGGATCAGTGGTAGACTACAAAAATAACTCATGCAACGAGATAAAAAAGAATATGCGTGGCTAACCGCTGTTATTTTGGGCTGGGCCCTCAACTAAGAGCGAGAAGTATGTCAATAGCAACGAAGTTCAAACTTTATAAATAAAAGAATAATACGCTCACATACGGATCGGAAATATGGGCAATGACGACCCGAGATGAAGAGTTACTACGAGTCTTTGCAAGAAAAGTATTGAGGACCATATATGGCGGAGTAAACGAACAGGGTCTGTGGAGAAGGCGATATAACTTTGAACTTTATAGACTTTTTGGTGATGCAGATATTGTGAAGACCATCAAAGTAAACCGCCTAAGGTGGGTGGGACACGTTATGCGGATGGATGAGAGTGATCCCACTAAAAATAACTATGCTAAACAGGCTGGTCGGAATAAGAAGAAGGGGGCGACCTAAACTCAGATATCTGGACGATCTACAGGAAGATCTTAATGAGATTGGAGTGAGGGGCTGGAGAAGATTGATACTCGATAGGGAAGGATGGAAGAATGTTTTGAAGCAGGCCAAAGCTCACGAAGGGCTGTAGCGCCAACTGATGATGAAACTACTTGACATTTTGTAATAAAAATGGATACGTTACTTTCTTGTTCTGAAAGCATTTTTTGATAAAAAAGAAACAACAAAAATCTAAGCGCCAGAAGCCCTAAATCCCTATGGATAGTTTGAATAATTTTATGATTTCACCTATTAACGCCACTTCACCGTATTTTAATAGTCATTGGATATTTTAAAGATTTTCTGTTTTTAAACTGGCCTAGTACTTTACTGACTTCCTCGGTGTTAATATTTGCTTTACACTCATGTCCTTTAAATGCATGTTAGATATTTTATACATGTAGTATGCACTTATTTTGTATACTATACGTCAAAATAATATATAAACAAAGAAAAATAGTCTCACTTACACAGAAAAGTTAATTGCATCAATGCTAAGTTTTTATCCAACGTTTTGCCTTGACATTTTATACGGTCTGACATGATGTGGTCCTTGGTACGTGTATAAAATTAATAAAATACCAACACATTTATTTACCCCGATAAATATATTGACCAACTATACCTATATCTTAGTTAAAAGAAACACTTTGATCTTTGTAAATCTAAAGTAGACTTACTTCTTAAATAATATAAAAAATATAGTCATTTTCTAGATTTTCTCAATAATTTTATCTTTGTTAATAATAATTTAGACTTTTCAATTGGCAAAATTTTATCTTTTGGCTATTGTTATACAGTTTTTACCCTTTCATGTTCTGGAAAGCAAAGTGTTTATCTAAATTATTTTCTCTTAGGCATAACTTGTGACAATCATTAAAAATTTGGTTTGTAACATAAATAATATAAAATAATAAGAAATGTACAGATATTTTGGTTTTTTATACAACATAATATACATACTTTACAATTATTATACAACAACCATTAAATAATTATTGATAATCAACTAATTAAACTTTACTAAGCCTATTTATATTAGGTGAACAGATGAAAGTTTTTATATTTGTAAGAATAAGAATAAGAATAAGAGTAAGTTATCTTATTAAAACAAAGTTTACAACAATTGACATAAAAAGTTTAAATATTTTAGAGTGAGACATTTAAACAGCGGTAGAACATACAGAACCAGAAAATAATATATTGATTCTGAACAAAATTAAATTGAACGGCCGTTTCCTAAACTTTAATTAATTTAATAATTAAGAATCGTCAGACCATCACACTAGAACTAGATCTCTTGGAGAACGCATTGCTATGATTTACCAACAAATCAAAGGTTCTTCTCGGAACCATATAATTTATGTTAGATTCAAGTATGCCAAATTAGTATCAAAGGCATTAACCGCAGTAAGAGCGAATTTCTCAGTACGCTTCTTCAGAAAAATAACATTGATATTGTTACAGTTCAAGAACCACACACAGCAAAAGACAGCCAAATTAACAAGCGATAAGCGATGACAAATATCTGGCTATATTCTAACGGCAGCCATAAAGCATCCACCGTATTGCGAGCTACTGTAGATACGATATTAAAATGTGACCATTCACATTTCTCCAAAGACATGTCTACTCTAGCTGTAAAAGTAAAAAATATAGCGCTGATAACCATATACACAACACCAAATGTAACGTGACCAAATGACTAGTTTTAAACACCCAACCATTTACACTGGGGACTTTAACAGTCATCACACTTTTTGGGAATATAGGGCACAATACTAATCTAATCTTCATTACCACCAAAGAACCGACGCTTTCAGTAAAGTGCTGACCAATTTCCCAAAGTTACAATACCACCACCGTAGGCGCGACAATAACCATAGGAAATTTTTTTCCTTTATTATAATGGAACTTTAAGAAAGCAAGTTGGAGTGACTTCCAGAGACAGATGGAAGATTACATTCTTCTTCTTCAAGTGCCATCTTCGTTCCGAAGGTTGGCGATCATCAGGGCTATACGTATTTTCGAAACTGCTGACCGAAACAATTCGTTGTTGCTACAGTTATACCATTCTCGTGGATTTTTTAGCCAGGAGTTTCGTCTTCTTCCTATAAACCTTTTTCCTGCTATTTTCCCTTGCATAATTATTCGAAGCAGTTCATATCTTTCGCCTGCTGTAATGTGTCCCAAGTATTGCAGTTTTCGTTTTTTGATCGTAAATATGACTTCCTTTTCTTTATTCATTCTTTTCAAGACCTCGACATTTGTGACTCTCTCGGTCCATGATATTCTCAGGATTTTGCGATAAATCCACAGTTCAAATGCCTCTAATTTTTTTATATCAATCTTTTTCAACGTCTATGACTCCATTCCGTAGAACAGAAGATTACATTTAATTTACATTAAACCAAAGGTCAAAAACTATTACAGATTCATTAAGTTGCACTCGAAAGCACATACCTTGTGTTCCCAAAAAGTGATAAATTTATACCTACATCCCATGTTAAACACCAGAAAGTGAACGGCGACATAACCAGAGTGAACAAAACAAAGGTTTGGATATAAGGGAGTAATTACTAGAGGCTTTAAGCAATGCTTCAGCAGATAGATGTTGCAAACATTAGAACGTTTAAACTTCACAAACAGTAGTTTGTGGACTGCGTGGAACCTACTTAAAAATTTAAAAAACGGAAACAAAATTATAATAATTTAAAATAATAATCCCAGCTCAGAAAGTATTACTAGCTAGCTAAAATGCCTCTTAAAACTAGTTATCGAAAAGATATATAAATACTCTTCTTTACAACAAATAACAAAACCAACAACAAATCTTCCTATTCCGAAGACCATTTAAGAAAAAACAAAATCTTAAAACGGCGGTTGAAGTTATTGATGTGCTTGTGATAAAGTCTGGAAAAAGGCCTACTTTTAAAGTTCAACGAATTGGTACCTTGTTACAGTTTTATCAAACTGGTAAATAAAACAATGAATAACTGCCTTTTCCATGTACTTGTTAATAGAAAAAATATATCAAAGACAAAGGTCATGATGATAGTGGATAGACTACACAACAATCATCCACACATAACCACAATTGACCGGTTCGAGGTTGTGAGCTCATACTTATACCTGGGATCATTAATCAGAAACACAGGGTCATTATAAGAAGAGATTAAACGTAGATGTGATCTAACAAAAGTTGCCACAGCAAAAATGACCAAAATGTGGAAGGACTGTCAAATTTCAAGAGCGATAAAGATGAGGTTGATCAACTGCTTAATATTCCCAATTTAGACCTACGAATGTGAATTTTGGACTCTGAGACAATCGGAGAGAAGAAAGATAGACGCCACTGAAATGTTCTGTTGGAGACGAATGTTACGAATTCCTTGGACCGACCGTAGAACAAATAATTCAATTTTAAGAGAGCTAAAAGTTAGCCAACGACTCTCTAGTAAAGTCCATCTCCAACAATTAAAATATTTTGGGCATGTTATAAGAGCAAACACAGAAAACATGGAAAGACTCATAATACAAGAAAAGGTAGAAGGCCGAAGATCACGAGGAAGATCCCCAACAAGATGGATAGATCAAATTACAGGAATATGCCAAAGACCTATGCATGAATTAAAAGAAATGACCAGAGACAGAGATCTCTGGAGACGGACAATACACGACATCACGTCGACCACTACACTCCCCCTGGGGGTCAGGATTGAAGAGAGAGTTAATAGAAAAACCAGTACGTTCAGAAACCTTCAGAAAGAGCTGCCCACAGTGTTCAAGCCTTTCACCTCTGTTCACCACTCCAGAATGTCCACATACCTATTTTTGTGGTTAATTAGAACTTATTGACACCATAGGCCCGAAATTAAAAATGAGTCAGCTAACATTATCATATTTTATAAATAATTTCTAAGTGGGCACTTGGAACGCTAGTAGTAGACAATCTTAATATTTTACTTATCAATTTCATGTTTTTAATCTACTTATATTTTTTCATATTTTTTTCTGTCTTTGGAATAAAGTATTGAAGAAAATGTGATAAGTAAATCAAATTGAATAATTTCCAAATAACATCTAACGAGTCAATCTAAAATTTAAGATAAAAAATAAACGTATAAGAAACTATTTACATTAGACAAGTCTGTGGAAAAATAAGCACTTTACATAAGATTAATAAATCACTGTTTATGATCTTATAATAACAAGAATTTTAGTACTAGTAATTAGCGAGATGTGTGAGTTTTCATTAGTGAAATATTTTACATATTTACTTTATTACCTACACGTAGAATTTATTAAATATTAACCAAATGTGCTTTCAAATTATTTATTTCCTGTATTTGAAAATTATTTTTAAGGAACTTTTTTAACACTAAATACCGACTTACATTAAGTCACAATTTTAAGTATCCATGGTACAAATTTTGATATCCTAGTACATACTCCTGGTAGATTGGCTTCCGCACATCCTATGCCCCAAGAAATGATTCCCGCCAAAAAGTACTTTCCGTCTTTTCCTTTTACCTAAAAAAATTTGAAAAAAAAATGTTAAAAATTATAAATTAATATTAAATCAATATATTAGTTTAAAATTTGTAAAAGAAATTTGTTCTTAGGTACTTTCTAACTAAGTTTTTTTTATACCGTAGTATACTTTTTTAATTTTACGCCTAGGGAAATATTTAAATCAAATAATTGTTAAATCTTCCTTCCCGAGTAAAATCTTTTTTACTAATTCCTAACGTAATATCTACGTTAATTCCTAACGTAATATCTACTTATATATTTTCTTGTTTTATTTTTGCATTCATTTAAATTGCGTGTCTGGTCTATTAACCCACCATTTTCTTTTTTTTTTCTCGTATATCTTTTAATAAGTTTTAGACCAGTTGAATTTATTATCGCTTAAAGGCCTGAAACTAATTTTATAAAGTCTTCTGAGAATATAATTTTTTTGTTTTTATAATATATTATAAATAATCTCAATTATCACTGAACCTTTAAAAATTATACGAGCCCTCTGAATTTCGCCGAAAATATTAATTTTAGCATGCTTAAAAAGATGCAAAAAACTTGACCACTTTGACCACCCCGTCTTCCCCTTAAACGCCCCACGTAGAGGGGAGAAAACGGAAAAAATCGATTTATCAAAAATCTTAACGCTATAGAAAAAAATGTTTCAGATAAAAAATGTAGCTAAGATAATTTTGGATAAAAACGGTAATTAGCATTTTTTGTGCAGAATAAACATTTTCTCAAAAACAACAATTGAAGCCATCGTACGATTTTGAATGTCAGTTCATCTTCTTCTTATAGTGCCGTACATCTCTAGTGCGTTGGCGAATCATCTTAAGGCCAGACGTCTGTCTTTTGCGGCATGCAAAAAATCTTGAGTGATATTTATTTCTTTATTTATTTATTTATTTCAACAGTAGAACCATTTACAATAAAATACAACAAATAGTAACAAGTAAAGATCGTGTACAATAAACATCAAAACAATAACAAAGAAACAAGTAAACAGTTAAAATTTGTACAATAACACAGTATATCAAATCACAAGAATTAAAAAAGAAGTATCAGTATCACATAGTAAGTATCACATATCTAGATTAATAGTCAGATTCTTAAGTTGCCTTTTGAGAGCATTAATGTTTGGGCAGAACGAATCCAATAGGTCATTGCAAGAGCTGAGCATTTGCGACAAGGGAAAATGACGAGCATAATCAGTCATATGAAAAGGAATATAAAGGAGTGCAGTGTGTCGAGTCCTATGTATTGTGTTTAAGTGTACATTGGTTAATAACGAGTGACAATTAATAACGTTGTTTAGAATTTTAAACAAAAAATAACATATCAGCTCTCAACCTGCGGTTCTTCAATGTAGCAATGTTAAATTGAGACATTATTATAGATTAATCTATGAAATAATTTTCAGTATTTTTTCTTAGAAACTTCCTCTGAACGCTCTCCAATCCATCAATGTATACTTCATGAAATGGAGACCAGACAACAGAGCAGTATTCAAGACCTGAGCGTACCAGTGAGCAATACAATAATTTGAATACAATAGGTGAGAGATCATGAGTGTTCCGATAAATAAAACCAAAATTACGAAATCCTGTTTCCTTAATTTTAAGAAAATGGCTTCTACATGTCAATGCACAATTTAATAATATACCCAAATCTCTAATCTCAGTAACTGAATCCAATAGTACATCATTTAGAACATATCTATATGCTATTAGATTATTTATACGACCAAATGAAATACAAGAACATTTAGTTGGATTTAAGCTTTAACCATTTTGTTTTGACCATAAACATATATTATTTACATCATCTTGCAGGAGATCTCTATCCGATTTATTATGTATACAACGAAATAACTTAAGATCATCAGCAAATAGCAGGAAGTGGGAGTTTTTGATAGACTTACCAATATTATTAATGAACAAGTTAAAAAATAAGGGACCACAATGAGACCCTTGTGGTACACCAGAATAACAATGAAATTCTTTTGAAATATAATTGTTAATACGAACTTGCTGGGTACGTCCCATCATAAAACTTTTAATCCAATTAACAGTGGGGTCACCAAAGCCAGATGCATGAAGTTTGTGGACCAAAATATTATGATTAACCTGGTCAAAGGCCTTTGAGAAATCAGTGTAAACCTTGTCGACCTAAATTTTATTCTCAAATGTACCCAACATTTGGTAATTGGTAAAACAACATGTATTGTTGGTAATTGACAAGGTTTGTTACAGTTGATTTCCCGTTAGAAAAATCATGTTTTTCATCAATAATTATATTTCTGCAAGCCTAGGTAAGATCTGCTGATTGAATAGTTATATCTCTATAATTGTTAACACACTCGCGATTACCAGATTTATATATAGGTGTAAGAAAACTATTTTTCCAATATTGTGAAAATACAGATGATGACAATGATAAATTGAAAATTTGTTGTAAAGGTTTACAAAGGGAAAAAATACAGTTCTTAATAAGTGCTGCAGGTATACCATCAGGTTCTGAAAAATATGTAGTTTTTAAACTCCTAATCCCCTCATTTGTAGACTTTAAAAAGGCGTTTGATACAGTGGAACTACCGTCCATCTTAAGAGCACTACAAGATTGCAGGATCGACCACAGATATTGTAATATAATTAAAAATATATATGAAAATGCCACAACAACCATAAGTCTATATTCTGCAACTAATAAAATTAAGATAAAAAGGGGAGTCAGGCAAGGTGATACCATGTCACCAAAGCTGTTCATTACCGTTCTTGAGTATGCATTTAAAAGACTAACATGGCAACAGAAAGGAATATCCATTGATGGAGAAAGATTAAACCATCTACGCTTTGCGGACGATATCGTGCTTCTGTCAGATAATCTGGGAGAGATCAAAGACATGCTCCAAGAACTGAATGACATACTACAAGAAACTGGGCTGGAGATAAATTTTGAGAAAACCAAAATGATGACCAATATGGTTCCCAGCGAAGAGATACAGATCAATAACAACAAGGTAGAATTAATCGATAAATACACATACTTGGGTCATGAAATTAGAATAACCAGAGACAACCAAACCTGCGAGCTAAATAGACGAATCACGTTGGGATGGGCGGCATATGGATGAGAGACATTTTTAAAACAAATATCCCAATTCACCTGAAAAGGAAGGCATTTAACCAATGCATCTTACCAGTCTTGACCTACGGAGCAGAGACCTTAACTTTAACAAAAGCTACTGCCGAAAAACTGAGGGTAACACAAAGGCGAATGGAGAGATCAATGCTGGGCCTGACTTTGAAAGATCGCGTAAGAAATGAGGAGATACGCCGACGAACTGGCGTAGACGATATTATACTGCGAATCAATAAACAAAAGTGGAGGTGGGCTGGACATGTTGCTAGAATGAAAGACGGAAGATGGACGAAGAGATTATTGGAGTGGAGACCAAGAGCCGACAAGCGAAGTCGAGGCAGACCACCCACCCGATGGACCGACGACCTAAAGAGAATAGAAACAAACTGGATTGCAGCAGCTAGAGATAGAGAGAACTGGAGACGTTTGGAGGAGGCCTATATCCAACAATGGATGTGAAAATTCGGCTGGATGATAATGATGATGAATCCCCTCATAAACATCAGTCAGATTAAACTTCAGAATCTGAAGATTCACACTATAGTCAAATTTAAAATTAGGTACATTATACTCACTATCATTATATGTACCTGAAAAATTACTGCAAATAGATTGACTATTTCATCACCATTCTGAGCTATTACATAGAAATTAGGATAAGCACTAGGCCTACGTGTAGTACTAACATAGATCCAAAAAGAGTGGAGATTACTTGAATGATTTGCTTGAAATATTTTCTAAATAGTTCTTATAATAAACTGCTTATAATGATTTACATATTTTCCTTAACAACGAAAATTCCTCATATGAGTTGCCTGATGCTTTGAAATTCCTGTGAGCTCACAACGTCCACATTTCAAAGGCCACCAACTTATTAATGTACTCTTAACGTTCATGTTTCCATGCCGTATAACAATATGGACCATACATAGCATTTAAACATCATGTAGCGGATATTGAAGGAAAGATTGTGGTTACATATTAGCGCTTTAAATTTAGTTTTAGTTTTAGTGTTTAGTTTATTTAACATCAACTGCATATCGTGTTGGTTGTCTGTTATTATCGCGGTGTCATCGGCGTAACGAATGTTATTTATCGGGAACCCGTTGACCTTTATTCCACACTCAGAGCTTTCCAGTGCTTCTGCAAAAATGTTTTCTACATAGGGTTTAAAGAACATAGACAACAAAATACACCCCTGTAGCACCCCTCTTAAAATTTCAAATTCTTCTGTGTTGGTTGATTTGTTTAGTGTCACTCGTGCTTTGTGATTCCAATAGAGTATCTGGATAACTCTTATATCTTTCTCGTTAATGTTAGCGTTGTGTAGCATTATTATCATTGCGTCATGTTTTACGGTCTCAAACGCTTTTTTATAATATTAGTTACGCCCTCGAAATAAATGCTCAATAAAATGCTTGTATCAGCTCGACGATAAAAAATCAAAATATTGTGATCCAAGTGTCCTATCGACAAAAATCAAGATATGTTTTTTAAAGGATAAGAATGCAGCTTTCACAATTTCCTAATTGGAATCAGTTTTTATAAAGTTGGACCAGTTTATCAAGACCGGCCACTATAAGTTTCCATAACTAAAACCTAGTCTTCACAATCTATAGCATCAAATTTTAGTTATGATTTTTGTCAACAAATGTGAGGCATTTGAGGTATACCTAAAAAACGCTAAATTCAAAATTTCAGATTACAAATGATCTAAAACGTTTAAAACTGCTCTTCTACTGCTTCTTCTACTTCTACTTTTAGTAACACTAGTACGTTTTTCAAAAATACTTAACTTCTGCTAGAAATTAAACCCAAAACCGTCTTCTTGGAAACATTTTCCGTGACGTGCGGTCATTTAAAATGTAAAAGTTTAAATTCTGAATTTTAAGTTATATTTTAAATGCCTCACATTTGCTGCCAAAAATCAAAATGGAATTTGCAGGCTATAGGTTTTAAAGGCTAGTCTTTCTCCAAAAATTGAAATTTAACTGGGACCGGTCAATGAAAGTAATAAATTTTATTGATTTCACAAGAATCGTAAAAAATAGCAAAAATCGTGCAAAGTTTGTTTATTGAACAGCTTTATAAAAAACGATTTTATTTGCGGCAATATACAAAACTTGCATACGAAAGCTGCACTCTTTACCTTTAAAATGCATTTTGATTTTTGTGGATATGACACACTGATCAAAAGATATTGATTTTTACCGTCGAGTTGATATAAATTTTATTTAACCTATAATAAACATTTTTATTCAAACTTATGTCAACTAGATTTTTTATTCAAATCATTTTTTTCTACGGCGTACAGATTCTTGGTAAATCTGATTTTTTGCGTTTTTCCCCACCTGCGAGGGTGGTTTTAGGGGGAAGCTCAAGGATTAGAGTAGTAAACTTTTTTAATGGTTCCAGAATTGACATTATATGCAAAATTTATCTTGCAGTAGGCAATAAGTAGTAGTAGTAGATGTTGGCAACCAACTGGTGTACAGTATTGCGCTGAAAAGATTTGTAGTTGTTGTGTTGAACCACCTACGTAGATTATTCAGCTAGGAAATTCTTCGCCCTCCTTTGAGTTTTTTCTTTTACTTGTCCTTGTAAAATCAGTTGCAACAATTTATATCTTTTGCTGTTCCTCGTGATGTAATCGAGGATTCGATTTTGTGTGTTTTTATTTAAGTTCTCTTTTCAGGTAGTTAAAAAACTGTTATGGTAAACTATTATTACTAGAATAAGTAATTGTACTAGATCGTTTTTTTCACTTAATTTTTATTTAATCAATTTGAATTCATATTTAATAGTCACACATATATAATATAGGTATAAATGCTGTATATTCTGTACCAAAGAGCACCCTAATATGGGATATTATATTTTCAGCATTTAGTTAACCATGTACCATTGACCTGAAGATGCATAGCAAATTATAGTGTCCGAAACTGGTCGTTGGTGGTAGAATAAATTGATTGTAAAGTAAGTCTTATTCTTATTTCTTTTTTACCTATTTGAAATGGACTCCCCCAGGCAACATATTCAAGATCAGCTTTTATTTATCCACTTTTGTTAGTTTTTTCGGTACAAAGTAGCGTGTATGAGAGTACACGACTCAACTCCGTACAATAGTATATAAACGATATAACATCGTACCAACCTGATTTTTATGGGTATTGATAAATCATGGCAAGAAACGCATATCTTGGTTTCTTTATTTTACAATTGATTTGTAAATAATGGTACCAATTTTATATATTCGTTTTCTTTTGTTATTATCATTATTACCGTGTATTGCTATTGATTCTTACCTGCAAAGGTCCACCTGAATCTCCTTGACATGAATCTTGTCCTCCTCCTTCATATCCCGCACAGAGAAAAATATCGGGAATGAATTCATGTCGACCGGCTCTTAAAAACATACTTTTGCATCTATCGTTACTTACTATAGGAACTTGAACCTAAAAACAGAACATTATAAGTATAATACTTATTGAAATTTAACATAAATGCAGGTTTTGACATATATTAACTGCGTATTAGTTAACAGTAGAATTGGGAAGTGGCTTAGAGTATAAATGGCAGCAGGCATTATAACTCTATTTTAGGACTACGTACAAATAGACAATTTTCTAGTAATTTTTAAGTTAATTAGTTAATCTAGTTAATTTTTTTAACTCCTTAGTTTATTAAAAGCCGTGCTATATAAGGCTTACTTAGCTGGATTGTTAAGTGAAAAATATTGAATGTCCAAACGATATTGTAAAATATATGTCACATATTGCAAACCAAAATAAAAATAAATCATTAAGACTGTAAACATTACACAGAGACTAGAAAGAGGCAAAAAGGTGAAAATATAAATAATAAAACAAAATAATGCAGTATTGGAGCAAACATGCTCAATCTAGAAACAAATGTAGGAGACAAATAAGCTTCGGCATCATGGAAATATTAAGAGGGCTTAGGCAAATTAAAAAAAAATTAATGTAAAAATAAAAAGAGCAACCTCCATAAAAAAGAAAACATAATAACAATAAGACAGCACAACAAAACTAACTTCTTCTTCTTCTTATAGTGCTGTGCACCTATAGTGCGTTGGCGAATTATCTTAAGGCTAGACGTCTGTCTTTTGCGGTATGCAAAAGATCGTGTAGCGGAGATTAAAGGAAAGATTGCGGTTACATAGTAGCGGTTTAAATTTGATAAAAGCTTGTCTTGCTTGTTCGGTACGGCATTTTATTTCTTGTTGAGGATCCCATTGGTCATTTATCATCATTCCCAAGTATTTAAACGTTTTCATTTGATCGATTGGAGCGTTACCACTTGCAGTTGTATTCTTAAAAGTGAGTTTTTTTTTATTGCCATGCATTTAGTTTTTCCAGCATTTATCTTCAAGCCATATATTTTGCTTACGGTGTCTGTTATTATCGCGGTATCGTCGGCGTAACGAATGTTATTTATCGGAAACCCGTTTACCTTTATTCCACACTCAGAGCCTTCCAGTGCCTCTGCAAAAATGGTCTCCACATATATATTAAAGAGCGTATGAAACAAAATACACCCATGTCGCACACCTTTTAAAATTTCAAATTCTTTTGTGTTGGTTGATTTGTTCAATCTCACTCGTGCTTTTTAATTCAAATAGAAATTCTTCATAACTCTTATATGTTTCTCGTCAATGTTAGCATTGTGTAGCATTTTTATTATTGCGTCATACTTTACGGTGTTAAACGCTTTTTCATAATCGAGGAATGTTATGTATATATCTTTTCGTTGATCCATGCAATTTTGTACAAGCGTATTCAAGCAGAAAGCTGCTTCACGTGTACCCAGTCAACTTTTAAAACCAAATTGTGTCTCACCGCTTAGATCTTCCAGCTTTATGAACATTCTTGTGTGAAAGATGCGAAGAAACACCTTAAGCAAATGGCTCATTAAACTTATCAGTCTTATCAACCTATCGGTCTTTGCATTTTGTCGCTCTTTGTGTTTTAGGGATTATTATAAAGGTAGAATAAAGCCAATCCGTTGGATGTAACTGGTGTTATATATGGCATTGAACATTGTTACCAACATGTCGATGTTATCATCTTCTAACAGTTTTATGGTTTGACATAGCTAACAGCAAAACTAACTAAAAAGAAAAAATACAACTGCTTCAAAAAAGATAAGATATAAGGATATTGAATGTAATATGTGAGAAAGTGGACTTAAGGTAAGGCTGAGTACGAGCTTCAGAACTTTGGCAACTAATGAGCAAACTTATAAACTTGAAGAGAGCGGCACAAGGTAGACCAAAACACGAGGAAGAGGTCTATGCCTAGCAGTGGACTGCGAAATTATTGCACTCTGAGCAGCTAAGATACATGATGTGAGCTGTCGAGATTAATTTTCTTCTTCTTCTTCTTCTTCTTCTTCCCCTTTTTAAGCAATTCTGCTTGTTCATTGCGCATTGTTCATTTATCCGATACTTCCTCTGCCGATTGGACACTTATGTCTTGCTATTTTGATAACACGGGTCTCCTTCATTCTGATTATATGGTTATTCCAGGTATTACATTTTTTTTTTATTTTGTATCCATTTATTTATACACTGTACGTTACATTTTTTTCTAATATCTTCACTTCTCATTTGATCTTTCAGCGCATTTCCTGTAATTTTTCTCAGTACTCTTATCTCTGCTGTTTCCAGTAGCCTTTGCGTTGTTGCAGTGTCGGGTCTTGTTTCTGAGGCATATGTCATTATTGGTCTTACATTGACTTTATAAATCCTTGACTTTATCTTGGTGTTAATGTGTCTGCTTCGCCATATAGTATTATTAAGGTATCCTGTCAGTCTATTTGATTTTTGTACTTGATCTCTCACTTCTTTGTCCAGGTCTCCATAGCTAAACAGTGTAATTCCCAGGTATGTTTTCCATGACTTGTTCAATACTGATGCCATCACATCAAATTTTATTTTACACCTTTGGTACTTTGCTGGATACTCTTATTTTAGTTTTCTGAGATTAGACTGTCATATTAAATTCTTTTGTTCTTATGTTAAGTCTGTGGACCAGTTTTTGCCAACTATCTTTATCTTGGGCTATCAATATTGCGTTGTCTGCGTAACAAAGTATTTTTATTTCTTTGTTTGCCATTTTGTATTCTCTACTTCTATAGGTCAGAAGATTAATTTAGCGAAAACCTAATACTTTACTAACAACAGAAGACAGCATGGCAGATTTTAAATGCCAATACAATATTAAACCAAAAGCTAGGAACGAGTATGTGCAGTTAACAAGAACCAAAAGAGATCTACAGAAGAACTAAACTGGGACTCGAAAACACAAGGACATCAGTTATACAACCGAACCCTATATGTGAGATATAAATAAATATGTAAAATAGTACTGCAGGAAGCCATGATATACGGTACAGAAAATTGGAAAACAAAACAGTACTAATACAGAAAGGAAGGTAGCTGCAACGAAGATAGAATATCTTCAAAGAGGCTATCCGAAAATAAGAAAGAAGGGAAATAATGAAAAAATAAGGCGGAGAACGTCGTTAACACAGAAATAATAGTATATATTAAAATATTTAAAGTGGTACGGAATGTAAGAAGAATCATAAATAATTGAGTAAAGCTCCATCGGTACGTGGTCGACCTGGTCGATCGTCTGGAAGATTCTGGAAATTCTAACTAGACAAATCCATGTAAAATCAAGAGGTTATAGGGAGAATTAACACCGAAACAAGAAAATGGGGCTTAAAATTTTTTGAAACAAAAACCAATTATGTAAAATTCAGAAGAACACCTAAAAATGAAAATAATATCGCAATAAATAACTTTACTGTCATGTCTTTACACATTAGCGAAATTAATTCACATAGGTATTTCTAGAGGCGATAGTACATACTATAATAATAAAATTTTGATAACATTGAAATTATTAGACAAAGGACCCAAAATTTGTATTTACAGAATATTAATTTAATCTATGGTAACGTATGGATGTAAGACCTGGGTAATAATAAAAAAAAAATATAAATGGCAGCTGAAGATATTCCAGAAAAAGATAATGAGAAAAATATATTGCCGGTGTAAGAGAAACATGAAGCATCAAAAGATACAAGATTAATGAAATAAATAAAGAGTAAGATTCTCTCTCTCTCTCTCTCTCTTTCTCTCTAGTGACGCTATACCCCAAATCGAGCTGTGGCATCCTCCAAACTATGTCTCCAACCTTGCCGGCTTGCGCCGATCGTCTTCAGATTCTCAGGTTTAGCTAAATTTGGCGCGTCTGCTGTCACTTTTTCTACATACTACGTGACCAGCCCACCAAAGTATTTAAAGTTTAATAAATTCTGAGATCAGTACCTCTTTGAACAGTTGATATAGAACTACTACATCTCCATTCTCCGTTTTCTTTAATATATCCAAATATCTTCCTAAGGACTTTTCTTTCGAAGACTTCCAGCTTTAGTATTGTGTTTTTTGTTTTTGTCATCGCCCATGTCTCACATCCATATAGTACTATTGGTCTGATAATCGTTTTGTAGGCCCTAATTTTTTATCTCCAGTTGGTGTTTTTGGAGCGAAACACATGGGCGAGTAAAAAGTTAGCTTTGCTTCACTTTACTAGTCTTCTTTGAAGTTCTGGTTAACACTATTACATCAGTGTTTAATTTAACTTCCAGATATGTGAAACTTTCTACAGTTTTAATACGTCCTCTAATTTAACGGATCGTCTGTTTCCCTTAGCTCTTGCCTGTGTTAGTTTTTTTGTCTTTTGAATACTTAGGTCTAGTCCATTTTCTTTTGCTTCTGGTTTTAATAGTAACTATATTTCTGCCGCCTCTTCTGTTCTACAAGATATACTGCTAATGTAATCGGCATAAGCGGCAATCTGTATTGATTTATTTGTTAGACGATTACCTCCTTCTTTATTCAGCTATCTTATTCAGCACATATTCTATCAGCACATATTCGAGAGTCAGGTTGAGTAGTGTTGGTGCCAGCTTGTCTCGTTTAATCCTTTGACTATTGAAAAATTCCCAGTGAGCTCATTTTGTAGTCTGACTGTTGTTGTTGACGAGTGCATTGCTGCTTCTTCTAGTCGGATGTAATTTTGGGGATGTTAAAGCTATCTTGTATTTGATATAACTTCTGTCTATTAATTCGTAGGTCTGTTTGAAATCTTTGAATATGTTGTGGACGTCAATATCATATTATAACGATGTATTTAGAATTTGTTTCATTGTGAATAGCTGATCAGTTGTAGATATTCTTTGTCGGAAACCGGTCTGATATTTCCGACAATATTTTCAGTTAGTTGTTAGATTCGTTTGTAAGTAATATAAGTAAAAACTTTGTAGGCTGTGCACAAGAGGATGATGCTGAGAGAATTTTTGCATTTTAGTATTCGATGTTGTACGACCTGAAAAATACAGGGGGTTGTCATGACTTGTACATATCAAAAGATAAGAAGATACCAAAGCGACAAAAAAATGTTATAATGAAAATTTCAAGAACAAAAAAAAAGAACAAACAACGAGATTATTGTATGACGCAGAAGTCGACATACAAACTATTAGTGCAAGAAAATGTTATACTCTAAATACTTAGGTTCATTTTCCAAAGAAAAGAAAAGTTTAATTTAAAAATAAAGAAATTTTGCTTCTTAATAAAAAAAAAATTCAAACTAAGCCTAGAAATAAATTGCTATTATATAACTAATATAAAGGAAAAGAAGAATCCTGTTTAAAAATCTAGGAAAATGATTTATGATCTTCAATTAGATCATTATTATGAAAAATGCGCATAGCCTTATTCCTTAGCTTTTCGACACTTTAATTTAATTATTTAACATTATTTAAATTAAACATCGATGCAACGTAGTTCGTAATCTTAAACTACTACAGTAATGTGCGAATTAATGGAATCACTGTGATTTTTTTTTATTTTTTTTAATATTCACAGTTGGCAACACTACCTACACAGTTGACAGCTGACCAAGCATTGAAAACATAACCTTACTGTGTGTTGGTGTATTTGAGTGTGTTTTAGGTCATTTCTTACCAAGCTTGTGTTGTTTTGGGGGTTTTTGTACTATTTTGTGTTGTTTGTGGTTTTATTCCAGCATGGATATTACGCCTAGGAAGCGTGAAAAGATTGTCACGTTGAGTGAACACACTAGTATGTCACAAAGAGAGATTGCTAGAACGTGTGGAGTAAGTCAGGGGGTAGTAAGCAAAATTTTGAAGCGTAAACGAGAAACGGGATCAGTGGATGTGAAAAGGTTAGGAAAATGTGGAAGAAAGAGAAAAACAACACTAGCAGGTGATAGATTTTTACTTCGACAGAGCAAATTGGGCCCAAGAAAATCAAGCCAAGACCTACAACAAGATCTAGCAGCATCAGCTATAGTGATTCATGACTAAACTGTTCGTAGAAGACTTTTGGAGAATGGTAGAAAGGGCAATTCGTCCACAGAAAAAAACAGCTTCTAACTGAACGAATGAAGAAACAAAGGCTACTGTGGGCCAAAAAATACTCTAATTGGACTGTAGGCGACTAGAAAAAAGTCCTATTTACAGATGAAACCCACTTTATAGTTCAGGGACAGCGGTCGAAATTCGTCAGGAAGTCTGACAATGAAAAGCTTACACCATCTCATATTAATCAAATCGTAAAACATCCAGTCAAGAAAATGTTTTGGGGATGTTTTTCATACTTGGGGGTTGGATCTTTGGTGCCAATTGAAGGCATGATGAACAGCTAAAAATACAAATCCATATTGGAAAAGTATTTGGACAAACAACTCCAAAAATGTCAACCCCAAAGAGGAGCGATTCTTCAATTCTGCGAAAAAATCGACTGTACCACTAAAACAAAAATGATAGAAGCGGCTATTCAGGTTTGGTATCGAGATGAAAGGATATCTGACAGCTGCCAGAAACTCATAGAATCTATGCCAAAACGGGTAAAAGCAGTAATTGCTGCCAAAGGGAGACATATTTCCTACTGAATGATGTAAGTTTACCTTTATAGTTTTGTCAAAATATAATTTTTTACTAAATAAACTGTTTTTTTATTAAAACAGCCTATGATTCCATTAATTCGCACAATACTGTATATTCAGTTGGTAAAATATTAAATAATATATACCTCTTGCAAAACCGAAGGTAAAGTACCACCTTCACTAAGCCTACCCCATCCAGTTACAGTGGCGTTTTTCTCCTATAAGTAGATCATTCGAGGCAGGTAAACAAATAGGCGAAATGTGTGGCAGGAACTCCAATGGTTTATCTACTTGAACTAAGGCAAGATCATACTCGTAGGTGAAGTAGTTATATTTTGGATGAACTATCTTCTGTGAAACTCCTCGTTCGACGTAGGGAAGCTGCTCTTGAATATTAGAAAAGTCGTATTCTCCTACTCTTATACGAATTTGTGATGTAAGTAAGCTAAAAACATATATAAAAATAAATTTTATTGCAATTTTAAAGACAAAAATATTATTAGGAGGTTATATTGGCAATGTAATTAGTGGATAATATTTTGAACAACGAATGGAAGGAACTTCGACTACTAAGATAAAGATGAGGAGGAAAGGAAAACAAGTAGAACATCAGGAAGTAACGTGGGGTAAAGGATAAAGATCTGGCTAAAGTCTCCAAGAGTAAAGTGCTGAAAGAGTTTAAGGAAAAACATACGTTAAATGATTGGTGGGATATTTTACATTTATAATAGGTAATACAAACTCACTCATCAACACAATGTCCGGCTGTCGCCATCCAGTTTTCATTTAACACAGCACCTCCACATCTATGTGTACTCGAAAATCCAAAAAAAGAAGTTCTTCTGACTGATACCTAAAACGTGAAACATAAACAGGGTTAAGTTGCTTCAGGGTTACCTGTTTTAATGATATTTATGTACAATAGTCTTAAAAAGTCTTAAAAAGACTTCTTCTTATGGTGCCCTATCCAATTAGTGGATGTTGGCGACAATTCTGGCATACTCCTCTCGATCTTGTGTGGCTGTAAAAAGTGCATGGGCATCGAGGTTTGTCCAATCCCTTATGTTTTTAAGCCATGAGTATTTCTTTCTTCCGATGCCTCGTTTTCCTTCTATCTTCCCTTCCGTAATAAGCTTTAAGAACTGGTACTTGGAATTTCGACATATTATATGATCCAGATAAGCAGTTTTCCTCCTTTTTATTATTGGCAGCAATTCTCGTTCTCTGCCCATTCGATCTAATACTTCGACATTTGTTGTGTCATCTTTCCAGGGAATTTTTAGTAGTCTTAGTAGTAAAAAGTGACAACTATTTATAATGGCCTGTATAACCCTTTATGGATCTTGGCCTGTTCTACGATTTTCCGCCATTCCGATCCATTAGGGACTTCAAGCTTCCAGTTGGTGATTTTTAAGGCTTTTTCTACGTATTCCATACATCTAAGCCTGGGTCTTGCTTTTGGTCTTTCTCCCCTTGGTACCTGTCTCATGATTTTATTACGTTCTACCGTTTTACCTAATGAATTCAGCGCAGTCTCTCAGTTTTATAAACCTTGTGGTAAATCATATTTAAAATCTTTGCAGGCTTAGATTATTTTGTCACTAATAGTGTTCAATATATATCTGGACTCGCCACAGTATACATGAATTTTCTAGTTTATTTGGGTGATTTGTAAATTTCTAAAAGCCGATGATTAATAGATGTGAAAAGCCATTACGACAGTACACGTGGCAATTAGTCCTGCTTGTGATAGGCATGTGGGATATGTATGATAATATAATTTTACACCAAGTATATCCCTTTGGTAGAATTACCGCATAGCATTATAAAAAATCATAAAAATAATATTTACTATCTATAATGAGAACTAATAATAATTTTGGTTTACAATACGTTAATTTTGATGTTTTATAATGATGTCCAATACCAAAAATAGTTGGTTTAACATGTATTTCGAGAACGATTTCTTAAGTGAAAAGCGCAGGGATTAGATAAACCTATTTTTAACTGAAATTATGGTTCATTCCCATTCAAATAGTAAATAGTATTAAAATGATGCAGTACTATCTGAAAATAATAAAAAGTGACTTATGTTTAGTATTGGACTTCAACGTACCACAGCGGGAAAATTTAATTTGTATTCATACAATCAAATTTACTTCGTCGCAATTAAATTAAAAAGCTTCGTCAATATCGTAATGAAAAAAGAAAAATATATTATTTAGATGAGACTTGGTTAAACTAATTTAAATACTAAAAGCAATCGACAAGCGGTCCTTGAATGCCACTCCTGAAAGCACAATCAGGTAACGGCCGGCATCCAATATTAGATATTGGTATTGAACATGTTTTTCTTCCTGACGGACTCTCAGTTGTCAGATGGATTGTTTCAGTTTCAGGACTTCCAGATGGATGCTGTGAAATTTGACACCTGGTTTTCATTTAAACTGACAAAAATTTAATCTTGCTGAATAATCATTTTAGATAATACTTCCTTCCATAGTCGTCAAATAGAAAAGCTTCCCATAACAAGTCCAAATTGTAAGCGAAAAGAAGAAATGTAATGAACTTAAATGACTAGATAGGAAAACAATTGGGTATGACAAGTCTATGATTAAGCTGGAATTACTAAATATTGCACGACAGCATAAACAAAAAAATCAAGAATAAATTGTTATTGAAATGGCTTGTAATCTTTTTTGTTTACCGATTGTCACCTTAAGATTGCGAATTATATCCTATTGAGCTAATTTGTTCGCAAGTAAAAAAAGAGGTAGCAAATCAAAATACTACCATTAAGTTATGTGATGTTAAAGTGTTTAGTAAAAGTGAGTTATACCAAAATTGATTAATTATTCAGTTTGAAAAGTATTTTCGTCAGTTTTCACCAAGAACTTAAGGCGAAGTTTGATAGTGTTATTAATATAATCCACAAGGAAAAAAGTTCCTGTAGCTGGCTGTATACCACGTATCACAAAAAAGAGGTTAGTCTTTGTAAATGGGTATATTTATTTAAAAAACCCTTAAAAGGGCTACATCAATAAAACAAACGTTTTCGGACCACACAGTCCATCATTAGGTTTTAAAATCGAAAATGCTAGGTCACAATGCCTGAGCCACAAAAATACTAGGGTAAAAACCCTTTGAATTACATTTAGTTATAAAAGATTGTACATTGTGTTGTAAAATAACTGTGATGTTTAGTATTAAATTAAATTTGACTAGAGGTAACACATGGCTGAAGCGAGTTCCAGAGCCGGTGAGAGAGAACCTCTACACGCGGAGAACAGATCGGAGAACACCTCTACAGTTCCCAGCTGTTCTCCGCGTGTAGAGGTTCTCTCTCACCGGCTCTGGAACTCGCTTCAGCCATGTGTTACCTCTAGTCAAATTTAATTTAATACTGAACATCACAGTTATTTTACAACACAATGTACAATCTTTTATAACTAAATGTAATTTAAAGGGTTTTTACCCTAGTATTTTGGTGGCTCAGGCATTGTGACCTAGCATTTTCGATTTTAAAACCTGATGATGGACTGTGTGGTCCGAAAACGTTTGTTTTATTGATGTAGCCCTTTTAAGGGTTTTTTAAATAAATATACCCATTTACAAAGACTAACCTCTTTTTTGTTATTAATATCTTTGGAAACACACATGTATTATTTGATGATGCCGTTTTATTTTGATTCTTTTATATTTGAAATCGAAAATGATAATATTATAGTCATTCATTTACTTGTATTAATGTACAAAGTTTAAAATTTTGTTATTCTATTTTAAAAATATTTTTGAGGTACTTAAAAAATTAAATATTAATATTTATAAAATTTTTGGAAATTTAAAAAACCTCGACGCAATTGGTCTTACACACGTCCTTCCGCTCTTACAATTTAACTGCCCATAGGTACATTAAAAATTAGTCACTCCGTACAATTTCCAGATCGTAGAATACAAGAAAATAGCTTCCGAATAATAGAGAGTTATTGAAGAGGTATTTTATGTCGTCTTATAATAAAAGCACCTTTATTTTGACATATACGCCTAAGCAGTTTCGCGTCCTTTATTTTTTTCCTTTAATAAAATACAGGCCGCCTTTATTTAAGTTAAAAATACAGGTCAGAGAATGTTATTTAAAAATTCTGTATTTTGACGAAACCTGTCAAATTACGTGTAGAAGGTAAAAATACATCTAACTTGACTTGATCTAATATAATGTATATGATCAAATTTGTTGTATGTTCTCTATTATTTAATGAAAATTGTTGTTAGTATTATTATTTTTCTTAATTTGAATTCACAACTCTATTCCTTCATCATTTGCGCCAGCTAAACTAGCTATATTAATGGTTCTTTCACATTGTAAGATAAGTATTATGGATTATAGAATGTTTTATACATATAAATTAATTAGATTGAAAGTTTTTCTCTTTTCAATGATATTATTTTAATGTTTTAACCTAGGAGTGGCTATATAAGTAACAAATGGGACCTTATAGGCATTTATGCGTTGTTTATATTATACAAAAATATTTAAAATGTCTTTAGTCAAAAAATAAGATTTCTCTTACATATTAGCAATAACTCTTAAGTATTTTGTACTTTATTATAGGATCTTGTAATTAAGGCGGCTGTCATCTTATGGTTTCAATAACTTTCTTATATCAAAAAATATATCTATATACAGACCTGCCAGGGCCACCGTCCGAAAGGTGCATTTTTTCCTCCCACTATTCTCGTTTGTGGTTTTGTGAACATTTGGGGTACTCCACAAGCTTAAAATTAACAAAACATAATTTAACAAATTAGATAACCAGATATTTGGTAAAGAGAAAAAAAAGAAAAAATAAAAGTGTAAAATATTTCTATAACCACTTCATTTATTACTTTTTTATAATAAGGATTACATTATTAAATTGTTACCAGTACCAGTATTTGATCTAGTATCAAGTAATGGTTTATTTTGTTACCGTATTTTTTGGATTTCCAGCGTGTTAGCGCCATCTGGTAGGTAGCAATAAAATGAGTACCACCGAAACATAAATTCCCATTATGTTGAATGTTTCTTTTTCTGATGTGCACCCGCTTCCCTAATATTTTGTACTACAACAACTGTTACTATCCTATAAGGAGTAAATTTATGTGGGTATTAAATTCGCTATGAACGATAATTCAGTGGAAGCAAAATTGGAAGTGTTTTCCTAGTTCATAAGCCTCAACCAGTTTTTAACAGGTACCGACCACAGAATGGTTAAAGCGTCGTTAGGAATGGACCTTGGGTACAAGAGATATCGCATGACCAAAAGGAAATCCACACATACCTGAACAGAGCCTAATAATATAAATGCATTTGAAGGACACATCAACAGCATTATCAAAAGCAATAGGAATACAGACACAAATATCAACACCCTGAATGATGTTAATAGAAGCTATACAGGAAAGCCAGAATTTACACTGCCAAAAGAAATCATATACTGAAAGAATAAGTCCCTAAACACAAGCATTAATGGAAGAGAAGAGAAAAATGCAAAGTAATAGAAGCAAAGAACATCATGAACTTAGAGAGATAAATAAAAGAATACAAGAATATGTAGGAATCTAGACTAAAACCACAAAAGTAAAGAAATTCAACAAACGATTGAAAATAACAAGAGTCTCAAAGTTCTCGGTAGGAAATTAAAAAATGGTAAAAAAAATATTGAAATTAGAGGATAAAGATAGAAATATCATCACCAACAGAGATGAATTACTTATGGTAGTAGGAGATTTCCATACAGAATTATACAAAACTTAACAAAACCAGATGAGCAAGTAAGACAAAAGTTAAAAAACTCAAGAAAAAGGTTAGTCAACCAAAGATCGGAATTGATGACTGATATATCAACAGACGAAATAAGGAACGCACTGAGTAAAATGAGAAAAAAAATATCCGTAAACTAATTTTCAAAACCAAATTCAGATTTTTGCTTTAATCTGTGGTTTCTAAAAATTGCAAGGCAAAACATCGTTGATAAAGATGTTAAAATGAAAAAAAATAAGCACCTGGAAAAGATAACATTCCTAGAGAAGCCGTAAAGATTGCAAGAGACAAACTTTCAGAGAAAATAAATAAATCGTTCAACTTATATCTGCACCAATGTTAAACACAGTGACACAGTGCATTTACCATTTTATTACGCAAAAATTACTGACTCATAAGCCTGTTTAACCACCTCTACAAGTTATTCACAAGAATAACAAATAAACTGAAAACAAAATTAGATTTTTACCAACCTAGGGACTAGGAAACAGGCAACTTTTAAAAAAAACTTTGACATCAACGACCCTCTTCATTAGGTAAAGGGGATTATAGAAAAATCCATCGAATACAACCGACTATTCGACCTAGCTTTCATAGACTTTTGCAAAGCATTTAATACAATAGCAATAGAAAATAACAGCGCAATGAGAGCGTTGGAGGAATGTCGCATAGATTCTTGGTACTTCAAACTGATCGCAATATGTACAATAATGCAACCATGAACGTAATACTACACTCAGATACAAACTATATAAAAATCAATAGAGAAATCAGACAAGAAGATACGTTATCTCCCAAATTCTTGACGGTAGTTCTGGAATATGCTTTTCAAAAAATTGGAGTGGGTAGCCACAGGTATCAAAAGAAATAGGAAAAACAGATAAATAGGAACTAATTAATAATAAGAACATGTAGTGCCTAAACATACCTTGGTGTTTAATTTAATTTAACAGATAAAGACGATTGAGAAATTAGAAAACGAATAGCATAAGCCAAAAGGCTACTTAAGCGTAATATGGTGAAGCTCTGATATAAAAAAAAGAATGGAAATATAACATTTTTGTAATCATTGTTAAAAGGGGTCTGACCTATGGTGGAGAGACATGGAGAATAACGAAAAACAACAAAAGAATGCTTAAAGCGACAGACATGGATATTTTCAGATTATTTTTCCAAATATAAAAAAGTGACAGAGTTAGAAATATTGACGTATGAGATAATGACATATATACAAGGGCTAGAAGCCCTAAATGGGAACCTTAAAATGCTTTAAAGTTAAAGCAAAGCCCTTCTGTTTGACACAAAAAGACCTTTCATATGACTTTTCAACCAGTAAAAAAGTTAACCAGAGGCACCAAAAATTTTTAGTTTATGCAATAGAAACAATTATCTACTCCGTTGCATGTGTTAAATAAGTAAGCGTAAATCCACTGTCATCCTAAACACTTCTTCTTATATTAAATAACTCTCAAATCTCATTAATACTCCAGACTACAGACCAATTCCTAATAATTCAACAACCTATCTGAAGAAAACGACTAAAGCCATTATCAATAAAACCTCTCTTCCTGTTGATATAAAAAAATCTCTAATTTCTCGTGAAAAGTGTTCCAGAACACCTCGAATATATTGCCTTTCCAAAATTCACAAACTCGATATTCTTCTCCGTCCCAAGTGTAATGTAATCCACTAGAGAACTATTTTCCAATGCATTTATAATGCAATCAGTGTAAACTAGTATGAACGAGCAAGCAGGAAACCATGTTGACCAGAATGTAGATGATTATTTAGATTATCAGTCACTATAGCCTCAACAGTTTTGAAAATAGCAGAAAGAACTGCAATGAAACGATAATTAGAAATCAATCATTTATTGCCAGACTTGTGTGTAAGCTGAATAAAGGCTATCTTAAAATGTGATGAAAAGTGATCCTCGGTCAAACTTTCTTTAAAGAGATAAAATGCAACAGATCTCTATCAAATGATAAAAGGGAAAAATTTCACAATCTGCATGTAGAAAATCATATTTTTTAATATTTTCATAGATCAAATCAGAAACCTCTTGAGATATACCAATAATAATTGTATAATGCAGGATTTTCAAAATATATTTTCCACCGTTTTGTACAATGAGTTGCAGCATGCTGTCTTTTTCGTATTTATGATATATTTAATACGATATATCGTATTTCGCTCTTTTACAACTAATTCTTATAACACATACACCATAGAACATACACTATTTACATACGTCATAGAGCAATTTAATTATATAACAAGATTTAGTGTAAAATATTCAAAATTCAAGAAGAATACGCCATAGCATACTTCATCATTACCAGATTTCACCCTTTTATAGATATAGTTAGTTAACATGAAAATCACCATAGACAGATAATTAAAGGATAACATACGTAAATCTCTTTATTTATACATACGTATATCAACACTGGCTGCTGAAGTTGTTGACATAGTTACACCACCAGAAGTTGATGAAGGCACTTGGGTTGGCATCGGTGTAACTTTTTCCGAAAGTGATGTAATCAATTGCGGCCTCATAGGTTCTTGTGGCCTAAAAGTTCAAAATATAGATTTTATCCTAATTATATAAAGTTAAATTAAAATAAAAGCAAAAACTATAAATATGACATAATATCGATTTTTTAATAAAAAAATTTCACTTAAAATAACAAATATATGCAGATAAATAAGTTTAACGATTTAAAAGACTAAAATAGGCCAATCAGTAGCTATGTTATGTTTTTATGGTCCCTGTTTTACAAGAAGTTCATCTGTTATCACTAACGTGTAATCAGTACAAATAATGTCTTTATTGTCTCCAAAAAATAATAATTTCTTTTATTCATCTTCATTTGCGTCACTTTTATAATTTTATTAGACAAACCTGCTAACCAACTTGTCCGGTATAAGCAGAAGTGACATGTCTGTCAAAATATTTCTTTAAGTTCATCATAACTTGTAATTCCCATAACCATATCGTGTAAATAGTTTCCGATATATAGTTAGTGTAAGCACGTCGTGAAACATCTTGTATATTAGCGCAACAATTAAATATTAGGGTTTAGGGTAACTGAATGTAACAATAAAAATACTTAAATTTTACAGTAGGTAGGTAAAACTTTTCTTTGTTAGGTAACATATTTGTATATTTTGCAATTAAAATTATCAAATCCTAAATATTCTGTTCAATAAACGAAATACATAGGTTACTTTATTTAAAAGCTCAATAAATAACTTTTTAAAAGCACATAAAAATGTTATTACTATCTTTCTAGACGCAATCAAATCTATTGGTGGTGTAGGTTCGCTATAGTTTCCTCACCATCTAATATTATGTTCAAACTTCGCCCAAAAATAACCATCTTCACGACAGAACTTTGTGCCATATACACAGCTCTAACATATTTAAATACCTCTAACATTCTACGAGCTCCTATTCTTAACGATTCTCTTAGCTATATTGCAGCATTCCAAAATCTATATCCCAAACACCCTATAGGAAAGAAAATTCTTCAGGAAACAAAGCAACAAAAATAATAAGTAATTACTCACCATGTGACTTAAAATCGTGGCTCAAGTCAAAAGTTTGGTTCTTACGGAAATGCAAGTGGTGCCAATCTCATTTTAAGCTTTAATCTATCATATATATACAAGGATTTCCACAGTTTTCACTGTATTCCTTCACCCAACCGTTTCCTCCAATTTTTCCTGTTTAGCCAGTCCCATTCCTGTAGGTTTCTTCTTTGCATTGCTTCGTCCACTTCATCTCTGAAAGATCTTCGGGGTCTGCCTCTCTTTCTTCTTTCTATTGGGCTCCATTCTGTTATTCTATTTATCCACCGATATTGTTCTGCTCTTCTGACATGTCCGTACCAGGTTAACCTCTTCTGTTCGATGTAGTCTATTATGTCGGAGTTCATTCCCATTCTCCTCCTAATCTCCATGTTATTTATTCTATCTCCTCTTGTTACTCTGCAGCTTCTCCTTAGGAATTCCATCTCTGTTGCTCTTATTTTGTTTTTGGTTTTCTTATTTATTGTCCAATTTTCACACTCATAAGTGAGGATACTTCTTGTCATGGTATTATATATTTTTTTCTTTGTTTTCATGCTGATGTTCTTATCCCATAGTACCGGGTTTAATTTTCGTATGCAGTCTCTTGTTTGTCCTAGTCTATTTTTTATATCTTCCTCCGTTGTTCCTTTGTTTGATATTATGAAACCTAAATACTTATACTTTTCCCTGTACTATTTCCAGCTGTTTTATTTCTGTATTCTCCTTTGTTAGGTATTCAGTTATCTTTTAGGTTTATGTCGATCCCATTCTTTGTATATTCCTGCTCCAGTTTTTTCATTATAAAACTGAGGTCATCCTCGTCTTGTGCGATCACTATTTGGTCGTCAGCAAAACTTAGCGTATATAGATATTCGTTCCTTACTGGTATACCCATTCCTTCGCACTTTCTTTTCCATGGTTTCAGGGTTTTTTCCAGGAATATTTTGAACAGGGTGGGGGATGTGGAGCAACCCTGTAGTAGTCCCTTTGTCGTCTTAAATGGACTGTATATTATATTGCCGTATGTATTCGATCTATTAAAAACGACAATACTTTGGTGCCTAAGAACTGATAATCATTGCTTACAAATAGTGGTAATCAGATTACGTCTGACACTTAAGACTAATACATTCATACCTCTATACAAACAGTTATCCTCCCTGGTGTGAACTGAATAACCCATCTTTAAGCCTTAAGAATAATATATATTAATAGACTCAACATTATGAACAACAATGGTCTCATTATCGCCTACCCAACATTTTTATCCGAGTTACCAGTTGATATGTGTCTTATAAAAAATCTAAGAGATGATCTTAAATTAATACACACATATCACAGTTTAGAATATATCATGTGTAGTCTCCAGTAACATATCATAATTACCTATGGTTGATGCGACCTTGTTCTCTAAATAGAAAAAAATCTCTAATACGCTTAACGCAAACATAATAAAAGTGGGATATTAACATAAAAAGCAATTTTTAAATATAAACAGCTTTTATAGGCTTACCTTTTAGTAGTTGTAGGCTTCGTAGGCTTAAAAGAGTATTTTGTAAAATATTTATCAGGCACACTTTGAACAGGTTTCTTTGTAGGCTTATTTTTAGTTTTAGTAGGCTTCTTTTGTTTAGTTAATATGCTAGATTCTGTAGTTAACTGCCAGTTTAGCAAACTAGATACTTCCCTTGCTGCGTGCTGTGATTGGATGTTATGAACGCAGGCTCGGTCGTCATTTGCCAGCCGGGTTTCGTATAAATCAGATTGGCGTGAAGGGTGAATTCATCTTCAGTGTTCATCGGTCGAATACTGTGCCTAAGAATAAAATCTAAGAAGATAAATGCATTCTAAAAATTAAAATAAATCAATAAAATAAATTCGAAAATAACTGGTAACAAACTGAAGTCAAGAAGACTTAACAGTTTCCTCCGTAGCAACAAACATAAAGGTTGACATATGTATAGAACCATAAGATGTACAAAACAGATTGTGGGAATTAAAGAACTAAATTAAATGCAAATTTAGCCAATTCCACAGAATGACATTTCTGTGACACGAGTAATTCTTCAAGAAAGACATTTTAACTTAGAATTGAAAATATTGAAAAATTTAAATAACCCTGAAATTTAAACTTTAACTGATTGTGATGGTAACCTTTGCAAAATCATAACATTTAATCTACATATTAATCTTACTTATTACTACTTTAGGTACTTTTAGGTACTTAGGTATTTATGGTATATATTTCTTTAATTTTTTTCTTAATATATATAATATATATAATTATTAATATATATAATTACAGAAAACATTTGAAGGGACCTTCTCCTGGGACCTGTATTTTTGGTTACGAGTACTATACCCTCATCAAATCTTAGATATCTTTAAAATATACCATAGATTTTAACTTATCGTTGTTTCCAATTTAACTTCTTGAACACGTCTTCTAATGCAATAGTAAACAATTTTAGAGAGATCCTGCCTCTCTGTCTAACTCCTCTTTCCGATCTTATGGTAAACGTTCTGCTACGTTTATTTGCATATTAGCATTGTTAAAAGCTGCAACTTTTATTTTCCAATAAATTAACGAAAAAAGAGACGGCATATTCCTAGACGCCCAGAAAGCATTCGACCAGGTCTAGCACATAGGCCTGATCGAAAAACTCTACCCTGCTGAACTGCCCACAACTTTTGGTAAATAATTAAATTCCTATCTCTTCAGTCGGACTATCCGGATCAAAGATGACAATAGATTATTCTCACCATTCCCTTCACAAGCTGGAATACCCCAGGGTAATTCTTGCTCCCATACTATACACAGTCTACAACAGTGACATCCCTCGCCCTCAGTATAGATCGGAATCCCTACTGCCGTTTGCTGACGACACTGCGCTTCTCACCTCAGGCCCACATAGAATGCGTGGACAAATGTCTGTATTCGAAAGAGCTTAAAACTACCTAAATAGAGTTATTAAGTGGTGCAATAGATGGAGATTGACTATTACCGCCTGCTTCTTCTGCTTCTTGTGCCACTCCTATCGGAGATTAGAAATCATCAAGGCTATCCTGATCTTGTTTACAGCTGACCTAAAGAGGTTATTATACATCCAAACCATCCTCTCAAATTACACAACCACGACATTCTTCTACGGCCTGGATTCGGTTTTCCTTCTATTTTCCTTGCATTATATTTTGAAGTAGTACGTATTTATGCCCTCTCACCAGGTGACCAAAATATTCGAGTTTTCTTCGTTTGATTCTAGACAAAATTTCTGGGTCTCTTCCTATCCTTCGTATTACTTCAAAGTTTGTGACTCTTTCAACCCAACTTATCTTCAGCATTCAACGGTAGCACTACATCTCGAAACTTTTAATATTTTTTATGTTGTTCACAATGTTGTAGCATTCGTAATCGTATAGGGCCTCCACAACCCAATTAATATTATTTCCCCCAGTCTCCCCACTACCGTGATGCTGATTGCCGGATAACCCTGCTAGGAGAAGACAATAATTTCAGAAACTCGTTTTCCTATTTAGGAGTTCATTTTAGCAGGACTCTTAACTGGAAAACCGACATACAAATCACCTAAGACAGGGTAAGAAAAAGGACTAAACTCCTGGCAGCGGTGTCCAGTAAAATGGGCAATCTATCAAATGAAACACTATTGTACACATACAAAACTTATATAAGGCTAATAATCGAATACAACGCATGCGTCTATGCATCGCTTAACACCCGCCACATGAACAGCATCATGGCCACAGAAAGAAAAATACTTGTTTTTTTTTACGCAGAGACTACCCGTCAAACCTTATACACCAGGTAGCCAATATAACATCAATTAAGGACAGAATCCTGACCATCGGCAGAAGACCCTCAATAAAAGGTATATCCTTCGCACTATAGTAGACTTAAACAACCGAGTCAAACAAATACTTAAAACTCCTTGCCATTGCCGGGGACAAATACTCACCCGGAATCAATACTTATAAAATATCGCAGCTAACAATTGCACGCTAAAAACGCTAATTAATAGCCGTTTCTAGTATGCCTGGTACCACCTCGAAGTACATCCCCTTGGCTTGTTTGGCTTACCAACAATTAATCTTGTCCACTCCTTATCACAATACGCTACTTTATGAACCGCAGATTCTAGCACTTCACCACTATAATACCACCAGCTTATCATGCTTACTTTTACGCTACTCCTTGGCTCCATAAAAAAGGAGCATCCTTTGCTTATAGGGGCAAAAGCCTAAACAAGGCAAAAACATGGTTTGATTGATTGACGATTTTATATCTGTAATTAATCCTTGCATTATTCATTTCTTCCAATAGGGTCCAGAGTTCTATGAAATCGAATGTTTAATTGTAATAGACAAATTCCAAATAATGTGGATCATTGTATTCATTACACTTTTCCATAAGTGTCTGTAATGCCTGTTGAAATTCTATGGTACATCTTTGCAAAATCCCACTTGTTTAATAGGCTGGTAACTATGTAGTAACTAACTTGGTTTATAGTCTGTGGGTAATTATTTTTGTAGGCAATTTGTACGGATTTGGTAACAGCCCCATTGATCTGTAATTTTTAAGTTTGTTTGTCTCCTTTATTGTGTAACAAAAGTACGCACTTTGCGAAAGAGTTGGATTAACACAAAAAAACATTTGTTTATTAGAATTCTAATTAAGTGATGGATTCGACCGTTACTTGATGAAAATTCATCTTATATAACAATAAAACACTGAAAACTTTGTTTTCAAAACTTCCACACAATTTATTATAAATTCTTATCACTACAGCTGTTTCGGCCGAGTGTCTTTCTCAAGTGGCAACTCTAATTGCCCTTAAAGTAGTTGGACGTTTAACTGTAATAATTTCTTTTGTTATTCCGTCTTCTCCAGGAGCTTTTCCATTTTTTTATCTGTTAAAGGCATTTTCAACTCCCGCGTTAGTAATTTCTGGCAGCGTTTTAGATCCTACGTTTTAATACTCATCGTTATTTATTGTGGTTTTTAGGTTTTAGGCTATTCTGAACAAGATGACATTAACTTTAACCAATTAAATGATTTTGTGCGTGATTTCTCAAAGAAAGCTGCCCCGTTATTAGCCTGTAGATTATGGGAACAAACCTACTGGACTACCCTGTGAAGATTTTAGAGACCTTTTACCTTTATTTTTAAAAAACAATTAGTTTTTTACTGCCATGATGTTTCAGATGATTTTACATCATAAAACCTTCTGAGTGGCGATTGTTTTTGGATAGCAGTAAGCGAAATCTGAGCTGTGTGTCATTGCATAATAGACATATGTGTGCAATAGTTGGATTATTTTTGGGTAAAATTGAAATATTTGAAAATGGTTACCCTTTATCTTGACCAATGGAGATGTTTACATAATTTTTATTTATTCCAGAAGAGCTAACCTGAATCGCCACCACTTGCAGCTGGTATGCCAAACGTTGTAAATAACTTAATTGTCAGTTGAGAGAAGATTTTTCCCCATTTTATCCGAACTTTGGATGTATGAAAAATTCACTTGAGGCATTGAACAGAGATGTTTTCGACATATAGCTTTCACCTTTCAACCTTTGGTCGGACGAGTAAATCAAAACAGATATGTTTAAAAAGTCGCAAATTTAAGATTTTATGCTAAAAAGAATTGTACTTAAAATAAATACAACTAAATATTTCTTTTTTGTAAAGTTTCTTTCTATTTAAAAGGCTCTCTTTTAAGGATGTTATACACATGCTGATAATTATGAGACTCTAGTTAATGGAGTGATGAATGCATATGTGTTACCATGCCTTTGAGCATGATATCACACATACTCATTAACCCTTACTTACAGAGCACAGAGACACAAGAAGGAAGAGATGGTTAAGTTCAATTAGGACCTAGCTCCATGGGGTGTAACACGGACCCCTATATCGGAAAAATCGAAACAGTTAACAGGCTGGTAGAATGTTGTCAAAGCAAACAACTTATTAAGGGAAACGTGATCGAAAATTAAGTAGATTTTATTCTAATTAGTGACAGATACAATAACGTTAACTTTGTAAAAACGTACCCAGGGGCTTATGTTAACTATGACTAGAACCTGGTGGTTTCCCGTATCAAATTATCTCTAAAAAATCCCAAAAGGCCAAATAGGAAACACATGTTAGATATTATTATGAGAAAACTAAAAAAATCCGAATATTTAGCAAAAAAATAAGTAGAAAAATAAAATTAGAACCTTCATCTCCTACCAAGCTGCCGATAGTGATAATACGAGAAAAAAAAAGTAAAATCCAAATACAAGAAAATAAACCAACAGATGAGAAGAAAAGAAATATAGAGTGTGTCAAGGATTGAAAGTGTGTCAACGAATACTGGATTCGTAAGAAATGGGAAGAGATTAAGGAATACGAATGGAAGTATGACAATATGGCGGATGAAAATTGCTCTGAGTCGTATTTTTGATCTGAAAGAACTTAAAAATTGAAAAATTTGAATTCTGTGAGTGAGAGAATTTTGCGTATTTTACAGAACTAAAGACGGAACCTAAAAAAAAATTAATAAAATGCTATTAAATCTTCGAGATTTAGAGTGTAATAATTATCCGCGTCACAATGACCAGATCAGCAACAGCCAAACTCACAAAAATTTAAAAGAAAGTTAAAATCGCAAAAAACACAAAATACGCCTTGTTCGAGCATTGATATTTCCTGTGCTTCAGAAACTTGGACAATAAAAAAAGCCGATTTAAAGCGTATAATCGCATTTAATGTGGATCTACCGTAAAATGTTGCGCATACCATCGACCGTCGTAGTAGAACTTAACATAAAAACTAGACTCGTCAAAACTATCCACCAAAATATACTGAGATATTTTGGACATATAACTAGAAGAAGAGAAGGCATGAAGCGAATGATAGTTGAAGGTAATGTAGCGAATAAAAGATCCAGAGAAAGATCTTCAGTACGATGGTCGTACCAAATAAAGGACATGACTGGTTACTCATTCTCCGAAGCAACCAGCACGGGAGAGAGATAATTAAACAGAAATAGTCAAACAAATTACATGACGCCACTACATCCTTACGAAGAAGATATTATAGAGGAGGAGGAGAATGAGTTAGTTACCTTGATACATTTCTTAAGAACCTTGGGGTTGTCACTGATTAGTTTTGACTAAGATTTTGTGAACATAGAGGAGCGCTATTAAGTATTAAGCAAAAAAAAGTTTACGAAATTAAATTTTTTTATGTAAAATATTTCAAAATTATCTACTGTTTACTTATTTGCTTACATTATTTACTTATTAGACTTAATAGATATTTATGATCTTACCTAGGAGGTGGTGTCGATATCCTCCAGGAATATTCTGGTTTCTCGTTGGTGGATGTTGCTAAAGTAGAAGAAGGTGTCGCTAAAGACGATCTAGTGGAATTACTGGCCTGTTGGTGGCTGTAAAATATCCTTAAATAAAGTGTGCCATCGAAGGCAGCAAAATTAATTAACGTGTCGAAAAAATCTACAGGGAAGTAGTCGGTAACAAATAGCGTGTATGTTTATTGCATAATTAGTAACTACATCTATAATGAGCGTTAATTAAACAAAATAAGTATTAAAAGCATCTAGAGATCAAACACATTTAAAAAATTGTTAAGTACGGCAATATTTAAAAGACTTTGGACTTCACAACCAATATTATACATAATACATAAACTTTTTTTAAATATAAATATGACATTTTTGTATGCGCTCATAATATTGGAGATTATTTGACTAAAACTTATTTTATTTTTTACGTATCTTATGATTTTTTTTTTTCATTTTCTATAACACCAAATTAATGGTGGCATGGTGGCATATTAATCCAGATCTTAATCAAATACTACATACTCTTGTAAGCATATTACTTCTCACTATCTTACACAAAACACAAAAAAAGTTTTTATTTATATTTCTGTATTTTCTTCAAAGATGTAAAATAGAAATGGATGGCATCATTTTTTAACAAGTAATGGAAATAAAATACCTGGGGTTTTCACTGTTTAGTTATGGAGACCTGGACAAAGAAGTGAGAGATCAAAGAAGTACAGGAAAAGAAGTACAAAAAGCAAATAGACTAGCAGGATGCCTTAATAACACTATATGGCGAATCAGATAGATTAACACTGAGCTAAAGACAATAATTTATAAAGCCAGTGTAAGAACAGTAATTACATATGCCTCAGAAACAAGAACCGACACAGCCACAACACAAAGGCTACTAGAAACTATTGAGATGAGAGTAGTGAGAAGAAAAAAAGAAAATACACTAAAGTGAGGATATTAAAAGAAAGTAATTTACAGTGTAAAAATAAATGTACACAAAATAGAAAAAAAGAATGAAATAACCACATATGCAGAATGGGGGAGTGCCGTGTTGTCAAAATAGCAAGAGATAGGTCACCAATTGGCAGAAGTATCGGACAAACGCGCAAAAGATGGAGTGACAATCTTTAATGGAGGTATTAATCCACCATTGACTAAGCAGAATTACTTATAAAGAGAAAGACTAAGAAGAAGAAGAATAAGTTTTTTCTTCTCGAAATACAAAAATAAAATAATGAGATTTTGGGAATTACAGTCTAATAAATATCTTTCGTAATAAAAATGAAATATGTTATGTAGATCCAATATAAATATGAAATTTACCAAAAGGTTCAAAGAAATACCTATCTTAAAAATTGGAATCCGATAACCTTCAAATAGAAGATGTTAAAATACAGAACAAAAGACCAGTACGGAGGCAAAGGAGAAGATGGTAGAACAAGTGGCAGCAGAGTCGCAAAACTTGATAAATTGGAGGCGGCATTTGACCGCTACTGTAGGATGCAGGGATGGTAAAAGAGAAATTATATTTTACCTTTATTGTATAATCTCATTTGTAAACTAACCTGGCGATTTTGAAATATTATTTCACACAGAGAATTGGGATTTTCTGGAAGGAAGGGTGATTTTCAAATAGCTCCATGAAATTTAGCAAACTTTTGCTTGCCCAAAGTAGTATCGGTACTTCATTTTTTATCCACCAAAGCTAAACTTTTAAAAAATTACACTAGTGGTAAGGTAATATTTTAAATATCTTCGGAATATTACTATATTGGTTTTTCGTAATTCTTAAAAATTATTTATATTAAACCTAGAGCTAAGATTAATCTATTTGTCAACCATTTTCCATACACTCCTGAATGTAAGTCTCTCCCAATTTCTTCCATCTTTCTCTATCTTGCGCTAATCTAATCCACTATTTACCTGCCTCTGCTCTTATGTCAGTTACCGATCTTTTTGAGGTCTTCCCATGCTTCTTGTTGTCATCCTTGGTCTTCATCTCCGTGTCCACCTGTTGTCATTATATCGGGCTACGTGACCTGCCTAGCGCCATTTCATGTTTTTAATTTCTTCCACAATATCCCAATCTTCTTTTTACGTCTTATCTCGGTGTTTCTAATCTTGTCTCTCAGTGATATTCCAAGCATGATTCGCTCAATTGCTCATTGCGTTGTTTCTAATTTTTGAGCAGATTTTTTGGTAAGTCTACTGTCTCCAAGTCGTAGGTACAAAGTGGTAACATGCATGTGTTATACACCTTTTTCTTTAAGTTTACAGAAATGTAACAATTTTGTATTGTTATATTTGTCTGGTCTCGGCTCAGTATTTTTGTTTACTGTAGTTCATTTTTAAGCCTACCATTCCTGAAACTGTTTCTTAAAAATGTCTTCTAGAGCAAGGGTAAATAGTTTGGGAGAGATGGTGTCTCCTTGTCTTACTTATCATTGTAGTCTTATAGGATTAGTTTTTGTGCTTTCGTCCAGCTTTATCTGCATGGTGGTATTTTCATATATGTTTTTAATTATGTTAATGTATCTTGAATCTTGGGGCTTAAATGTGGCTTGGCTACAAGAGAAGCCTTGTTTAGTATACAGGTGCTAGTACAGAGATGCAGAGATATAAATCAAAATGTGTATATTTGTGCAATCGATTTTGAAAAAGCTTTTGACAAAGTCCGACATAACAAAATGCTAGAAATATTGGAAACAGCTGGATTGGACGATAAAGATCTACGAATAATTACAAATCTATACTGGCATCAAGTGGCAAGAATAAAGGTTGAACAAGAACTGTCAGATGAAATAAATATAAAAAGAGGAGTGAGACAAGGCTGTATATTGTCGCCTTTACTTTTTAACTTATATTCGGAGAAAATATTTAAGGAAGCCATAATAGAGACAACCGAAGGTATTATTGTGAATTGAGTAACCGTCAACAATATTAGATATGCCGACGATACCTTAGTCCTTGCCAATTGCGGAGAAGACCTTCAAAATCTAATGAACAAAATAAAACAGACTTGTGATCAGTATGGATTAAAACTCAACGTTAAGAAAACTAAATATATGATAGTTAGCAAACAAAATTATATACATGATGACGGTATAAAAGTCGGAGATGCCACACTGGACAGAGTAGAGAAACTCGTGTATCTCGGCAGTAATATCAATGAGAGCTGGGATCCAACCGCAGAAATTAAAAGCCGAATAGAACAAGCCCGAGCTGCCTTTGTAAAAATGAGAAACGTACTTTGCAGTCACGATCTTAGCATTGACCTTAGAGATCGTATGATATCTTGCTACATCTTTCCTGTCTTGCTGTATGGAGTAGAAGCGTGGACCCTAACTGAGGCTATGCTTAAACGCTTGACAGCCTTTGAGATGTGGGTATACAGACGACTACTAAAAAGCTGGGTCGACAGAGTTAGAAATGAGGAGGTCCTTAGACGGCTGAACCAAACAACACAACTGGTCAATATAATAAAGAAACGCAAGCTGGAAAACTTCGGTCATATTATGAGACACCCTGAAAAATATGATCTTTTACATCTGATCATTCAGGGAAAGATCCAAGGTAATCGTGGTCCTGGTAGAAGAAGAACATCATGGCTGAAAAATCTAAGCCAATGGTATGGAAAATCAACTACACCGTTATTTAGAGCTGCTGTCAATAAAGTCACGATAGCGAATATGGTAGCCAACATGATATCCAACGATCGATAACGGTCATGGAACTAGAAGAAGATCTTGAATCTATACGTGCATTTTCTAGAGATTCAAGCACTGCCCATAATTCGATGGAATCGAATGCTTTCTTTAAATCGACGAACGCCATATAAATTGGAACATTATACTTGGATTTTTCTATTAGTGTTCTTACGGTGTGCAAGTGGTCTATGGCAGGGGTCGGCAACCTTTTGAGTCGGAAGAGCCAAAAATTACAATTTACAAAATTTTAAAGTTTTTAAACAGCCACAAAAAAAAACTAAATATTCACTTATAACACTAACTTGCACTTCAATAACAAACAGTTGAGCAAATAATTTCAATGGCAGCGTTGGCTTTGCATGGTTTTAGAAAGTTTGGATAAATCTGGCTCATAACTTGTTTTAAGTTTCAACCACGACTCTAAATTTTCATTTGTTATTTGGCGTCTTAGTCTACTTTTATTTATAGTCATGTACGAAAACGCAAATGCCAACTTCTTCACCTCACTGTAGCAATCTGGAAGACTATTCCATGCTTCGAATGTAAGTCCCTCAATTCGCGGCATTTCTTTCAAGGCTGTCTTTGCGTATACCTTTTTTGCGTTACGTACATACATTTCTGGACTTCCAACTTTTCCAACTTGCTTTTCAATTCTGTAAATTTCCACTCCACAAATCTTTACTTGTTTAATCGAGCAATTGCATTTCTAAGGATCCAGTAAGAATTCCAAATGGCTCAACGTGAATTTCGTTACTATTTGTGTTGATAGGATTTACTATGAATTGTAAGTAGTTTTGTTGGTTTTGAATTATTCAAATCTGCCAGCAGATTCATCTTTAATTTTTGTTGTAATTGTGCTGAAGTAATTCCTGTCAACAGCTGCACTCACTTGTTTTATCGCGATTATGCTTTAGACTAGCTAAAGTAATTTACCGCTCTGAATATCTACAGCAAAAAGAATTAATTTTTCTTCAAAACAAACCAACTCTTCCGCCAAAACATAAGCTGGGTTTCCCTTTCCTTGCAGTTTTAGATTCAGCTCGTTTAATTTCTCTGTGATACCTACCCTAAATTAAAATTTTTGGCAACCATTTGTCGTTTCCTAATTTAGAGTGATTGATGTCTTTTTCATTTAGGAATGTATTAATTTCATTCAAGCACAAAGCAAAACGTTTCAACACCTTACCTTTGGAAAGCCATCGCACTTTATTATGAAGAAGGAGGTCGGCCATTGTCTTCAAGGCATTTTGCACGGCATGCGCTCTAGTTTGTCCCGAGAGCGGTAGCAATCCAGAAGTGCTTCTTTGGAACCTTCGAAAGACATATACCTGACAAAAAGCGCAACTTGTACCGTGTTTTTTACATCGCAAGACTCATCGATACCAAGTGATA